TCATCACAGAAACTGGAAATCACAAAAACTGTTTGGACAGTGGCAGGTGCCTGGCAAATTCAGCCACACATCAGAAAGGCTGCAGATAACGGCAGGGCAGCTGGCTCTCAGCACTGCTCTCTTGCCACACAGATCCCCATTACACAGCCTGCCCCAAAGGACAGCTGGAACAAAGCTCTGCCAGAGGAGACAGAAGGAGCTCCACAGTCCCACGTCTCTCCTTGCCAGTGCTGGCAGGGAGCTGGGGAAGCTCAGAGCTCTTCAGTCAGTCCTTACACAGCTCCCCAACACTGGTAACGTCAGGGAGAAGCACAGAGTCCAACAATCTAATTTCTGGGTAACACCAAAAACAAGCACAATAGCGAGACAGAAGGTGAGAGTTTGGTTCTCCCCTCCTTCCTAATGACAGCAATGGAGAAGCAGGAAGACAAAAGCAAAAGCAAAGGAAAAAACCTGTAAGTTAAAAGCTGTGATAACAAGAGCTTCAAGAAAAATAAACCAAGTGAACTACTTCGATTAAAACAGAGGGCAAGGGGTGAGCAGAGGGCAGGAAAAAAAAAAGACTTTTCTAAAGCTCTGTTTATGTTCCACTAAAGATCACTCACTCTTGCAATGAGCAGCAATCCTCGGGGCTCCGGCCGCCTCCTCCTGCACTCACTACTGTAGGCTGCAAAAGGAAACCAGATTCTTCCCCTTTTATCTGCACGGATTCCCTCAGTCCAGGACTTGTTAGCAGAGCATTTCCTAACGCGCTTACAAATCACTACTGAATTTGTACCCGTTTAGCAGTAACCTGAGCAATATTACTAGAGCTGGGGGCAAGCACTGCCGGGCTTTCAGGCAACCCTCGGTGCCACCACGTCAACCCCGCCGCTCCGCCCGGCAGCACTAAAGAGGCTCCTCCGTGCTTCGCGAAGCTTCCGTCAGCTCTGCACGTGGCAGAGCGCGGAGGCGGAGCGAAGCCCAGCAGACCGCGGGCCGCGCGCCGTAGCCTGGAACCCAGCGGGCCGCCCGCCCGTCACTGCTGGAGAGCAGTAACGACTGCCACGAGTGACCCCTCCGTTCAGGGACAGCCCGCTGACAAACACTACTCGTTAAATACACGTCGTTAAGTAGTGCCAATACGCGTTTTATTCAGCAGTCGCGATCCCCATTTGGCCCTCGAGGCACGCTGCCCCAGCCGCCCTCCGCCCGCAGAACCGATGCTCGCGTCCCGCCCACCCCGCCGCACCGAGCTCCCCGCGTTTCTGCCCCGCTCTCACCTCAGGCCCTCCGGGCTGTTCTGCGGCTCTCCGAGCTGCGGGCACCGGGACCGCGGAGCCCCGCGCCGGTTGGGCTGCGTCCCGCAGTCGGTCCCGACGCTCCCAAGGGAGCGGACGCAGCGCCGAGGCGCGGAGCAGCTGCGTGCTCACAGCGCTACGACCTCGGCCGGAACGAGCGCCCAGCCCGGGCAGCTGAGCCGAGCGGCTCGGCCCGCCCTGCACAGCCGTGCGGGATTGCGCCGCGAGGGAGCGCGTGTCGGCATGGCGCCGAGCGGCCCGGCACGGCTCGTCCGTCGCATTCCGTGCTTTAAACGACTGACAGAAGCAACGGACGGCAGAGCAGAGCGGCGGTCCCGCGCCAGCGCCGAGCCACAGCCAACGGCGCTCCTTGCGGCACTTGTCCTGCAGTCGTCCCAGAGAAGGGCTGTTGGGGTTTCCACAGAGCGCGTAGCTGGGCACAAAGCATAGCACAGCGCGTTCAGCTTTAGCACCGTTTGCAGCCCTTTACGTTATCACAAAGATAGTGCTGTGGAGCAGCACGGGGCAGCCGTGGCCGTGCCCCACACGCGGTCCCAGGCCCCTGTCAGGGTGCCACCATTGTAAGGGTTTCATTTGTTGAACATTTATCACCTCTAAAACTCAAAGAAAGGAATCCCGTGCTCTGGAAACCGCCATTTCCATGACAGGCTGAAGCCAGAGGGCAGGCACTAACCTAATACAGCTGCAGAGATCAATCTCATCAAGCAGCTGGAAAGGCTCGCACTGATGCACGGTAATGCCCCGAAGAGATGAAGCAGGGGAGATTCAGCTTCAGAATGAAGACACTTGTCTTCCAGAAAACAGTGTAGAGCAACACAGGAAGATAAACTAATAGAATCAGGCAAATAGACCCATCACTTTATTAGGCAAGCTGAAAAGCAAAACTGTGGAATTAGGAAGAAACTCAGTAAACCATGATGGAAAAGAAAACAAATTAGAGGGAACTAGGCAATACTGAGAAGCAGATTGTCACTGTCCATCAGACAGAAATCAGAGTAAGGTCGGGCAGGGCTGGCAAGGAACAAAGAGCTGTCACCATGACTGATTGCAGTGCAGGTGGTGAGGCTCCTGTTTCACGTGTGCACAAAAAAGCCAGCGGGGAATGAGAAGCCACTGAGCAACACCGAGCAGGAGATGTCATAAAGCTCCTTCCCTCTTTAAAGCTTAAGGGCTGTGAGCACAAGCAAGCACAGAGCTGGTCAGGGCACAGCTCCACATTGCTATGGAAGACATGTTGCAAGAAAACTACAACTCCTGTCACAGCAGGCTGGAGCAGCAGCCGAGATCCAAACCAGGCAGGATCCAGCCAGCAGCTGCTCCTCTGGCAGCTTCAGATTCAACAGCTCACACAGCTGGGAGCAATGTCCTTGTCACACCATAGCATCTGCAGAGGCCCCAGCCCCTTCCAACTCAGAGCGTGAGAGCATGCACCTACCCTGTGTCCAATGAACTAGGCAAAGCTCAGATCAGAGGAGGATGAGATCCCTCCTCATCACAAAGGTTTCCACACTGCATTTTCCATCTCTTGGAAGGGGGCTCTGATCACCTGATGATGGGCTTAACACAAAATTAATGCATGGGGAGAGCACCTGCAGAGCAAGGGGAGGAGAGCTGCAGCTGAGACAAACTCTGAAGCAGGTGGACTGGGGTCTCACACCTGAGCAAGCATTAAGTGCCTAATTAGCTCAGTACCTCCATTTCAGAGCTGGTTTTGAAAGAAAGTTGCTAGGAGTGCATGGCAAGTAAAGCAATCCAGGCAGAGAGGGCAGTTCAGTTTCAAGTGTCAAATCAACTTAGAGGCAGAAGACAAATTTCAGCCAGCTCAGAGGACAAGAGCTCTATGCAGAATAACAACTCACATAACTTGGAGTCAAACAAGGAATCACCCAGCAAATAGAGGCACATTCAGGATAGAGACAAGCCTGCAGGGAGAGAAGATGACCAGACTGAAGTTCTGTACACACTTGCCTCAAATCTGCTTTAGATGTTCAGGTGTTTTACTTGGATTTGTGCCCAGTGAGGAACACCAGACCCAATGTGTCTGATAACAAGAAAGATTTCCCTGGTATGTAATGTTTATATATGTTCTTAAATGGAATACTGAATGCTGTTATTCTCTGAAGAGATTATATTAAAAATACTATTAAAAAATGCTTGTCTACCTTTCACATATCATTTTTCTGCTAGAAAGCTATCTCAGGATTAACAGATTATCAGTGCATTCGCGTTCATATTCCAAACTCAGTATCTCTGGTCACTTTCTTGTGTTTGCACAGACCACTAACTTAAGGGCTATGTGAAATTGCTTTGGATGCTAAATAGTATTGCAAGTACTGCATTAGATGGGAGGGAAGAGAAATGTGACTTTGTTGTGATGACTCTCGAGTGCACTCCTATTTACTGCACTTTCCCCCCCTCCTCCCCCAGGAATAACGTGCCACTCAATTTTCCAATTAGATAAATGTATGAACACTGAGTTACCAGAGGCAGATCATTAAATCTTTTACCTACTCCACAAGGGTCATATTCGAAATAGGAAATAGAGTATACTGCATCAGCCTGTGTATGCACAGGTTATGAAAATCTGTATGAGATCCAGAGAATATAAAGATCTCCAGTGCTCTTTATATACAATAGCTAATTTAATCCACTGATACCAGGGTAACTTCTGTAGTAGCCAAAAAGAGTGTTTTAGGGCATAGGCTGTACTACTTGAAAGCTCCAAAGAAAAGTATTCACATCTGTACTATTTCAAATCCTAGTCTTCTCTACCTCTGTCTTTACAGGACATCAATCACAAGATGAGGGAAACTGTAAGCTATTTTCTAGTAACACACTGCCAATCGCAAGACAAATGTCAGATGTCACAAAACGAGAAGCAACCATTTTTCAACTTGGGAATGTCTTCAAATGTATTACAATGAGACTGAAAAAAAATGACCCTTTCAACTTCGTTTGTTCTGACAGCTGCCAGACCTCAGAGTTTGGCATTTTATCTTCATACTGCAATAATCCTTATGAAACTTAAACAAGGCAGAGGGCAGTGGCATTATGTACAAAAAATTACAAACACTGAACAAAACCAAGTGTCTACTACTGCTCTGACTTGTGTTACAGAAAGAGAAGGAAAAGAGAAGCAGCTACTCCCACAGTTGTTATTATAACACATGCTAGGTATTAGATTCTTGCAAGCCAACCTTGACTTCTGTGTTGCACTGCCATGCTCACTTGGGAAAACAGCATGCTGTTTAAAACAAAACATCAGAAAGTAAATCCTAAATGTTCCCTAGAGTAAAAAGTCACTCCATACTGAGTGTGCAGTTAGTCCTTGACATTCAGTGTGAGGACTTTCTCCACACTGACAGCACGATTCCTGTATGGCAGACAACAATTCTTGTATGTCAGCCACTGGAAGATTCAGACATCAAGATCAGGTCATTTGCTCAAACCAAACCTCACTGCCCAAACACTGTGCCTTCTTAATATTTTGTCATTTTTGACAAGCGCTGGAACATGAGTAGATTGTTAACATTAAATAATAAAACAAAGGAGGAAAACCACATTATACATTATCATCATAAAATATGAGACCAGAAAAAAATCGACTGAACAGCACCGATGCACCAAGTTATCTGTGTCCTTTTCAGCCAGTCTGTCTCTGCTTAGCCCCCTCCCCAAGAGTGTGATTATGCAACTCACAGTTCATTGCTTGAAAAATAAGAGTAGAACTCCTCCAAAAGAGCTCCAGTGGAGTCCAGCATTCTTGAGAAAATATCCTGTTGAATAATATAGATCTAAGTTGTAGATAGAAGAAAAATGAAGATTATGTGCAAAGTCCAAAAAAATCTGCTCTAGGTGTTACCTAGGCCCAAATAAGATAGCAAACACCAAAGTAGTATGAAAATCAGCAAACCTAGAATACAATTAGTTTAGCCTAAAGTGACCGGACTGGCCTTCTGGATGACTTCTGGACCTGGTTGATTTCTTACACCTTTATGCAGTAAGGCTCTTTGCAGCAACAGTGCTTACTACTTGAAGAAAAAACAACACTGAAGTCAACAAATGTTACTTAATGAAGCTTGGTTGCTTGTGGTTTTTTTTTTTGCTGTGAATCATTGTGATCTTATTGTTTCTGCAGAAGCAAAAGGACTCAAACATCTCTCCTTTTTCTTTAAAAAGTTAACAGTACTTCTTATGGCAAGGACACGTACAAAGTAGAAGCAGAAATATGATTTCAGAGGTTTAAGACTGAGTTACAAAGGTAAGTGCATAGCTATGGGCAACGAGCAGATCTGTACCAGTACCGACAAGCCCAGTCCAAGCAACTGAAATAACAGGGTCAAAGCCTGAAGTCTGACCAAAAATATAATCCCAGGTTTTTGTTTTCAAAACCACACAACTGGAATTTGCAACTGCAGCTCCTTAATTGGTGTCCATGATACATTTAGTGCATTCGAGGCATGTAATTTCTTAACATGAGTGTGCCTCTCAGGCGGTGCACCCAATTCCCATGATGCTGGTTATCTTCTCACTGTCTGTTTGTTCCTTGTCTTCACCTTCAAAATAAAAGCAGTTTGTCACGTGAGATGCACTGTAGGCTCAGTGGAGAGGTTAAAAAAATATAGTAGCCATTGTGAGGAAGGATCAGTATTTAAGAACGGGACTTTTTGAAGAGCGTAAGTAGGAAAAAAAAGGAATTCAAGAGTCTTTTCCACATCCTGCAGCTTATACATACCTGAGATTAATTCTCAGTTCTCTCAGTCTCTCCCTGCTCCTGGTGAAACAGCAGCAGGATAGCGATGACTTCTGCAATCTGCAAGTTTACCAGCTGTGGCCGTGCGGTTTAGGAGGGGTGCGTGCAGAGCTGGGGTCACCTCAAGTCCATCTGTCGGACAAGTAACCGCTGCACCTCGGCGCTCCACAACCCCTCGGCCGCAAAGCAGGCGCTTCTCATCCAGGGCAGCCAGGTGATACTCACAGAAGTCAATCAATGATGCCACCTGCTCATGAAGAGGGAGCGACTTGTATTTTTTCTGAGCCAAACAGAAGAAAGCTTCAACAAAGGCTTGCAAACACATTCCTGCAAGGAAAGTGACTTTAAAGGAGATTCACAGCACATAAACATAACAGTACCTCATTTCTGTGCTACCAGCGCCAAACGTCTACAGGCCAGGTATGAACATAAAGTTGTGCCGTTAACATATTTAATACAGCAGCCATATACAGTGTGCAAAAAACACAGAGGAAAAAAACAAAAATCAAAGAGCAAAAGACAAGGTTCTGTCTGCGTGTAACACACCTGAGCCTGTTCAGTGTCTCAGTACAGCATATGCCCAGGCTGTGTTGCAGACAGCTGTTTCACTGAGGCTATTCCTGTTTTTACAGACCCCAGCCTGACCAGCACCCAGGCAGCCTGAGCCAAACTGGTACTGCAAAGACTGCTTTCAAGATGCTGTGCAATTAAGCTGATGTACAACCAACTGTGGTTTCTCTTGCCTCAAATATTAAGTTGAAGGCAAATCAGACACACACTAACACACTGAGCTTCAAAGAAAACACTTTGTTGGTCTCCTTTTTCTCTGCATATCGCCTAGATGTCTTGGCCCGTGTCAATCAAGAGCCAAGCGTCCTACAATAGAAGTTTCACTTCAACTGAATGAAAAACAAACAGCTGAATCATAAGAAGGGAAAGTGGTGCAGTGCCAGAAAATTCTGCTGCTGTGACAAACTCTCTGCCCCTTCACAACCTAGAGTACACTGCAGTACAGAACTCTTCATGTGTTCTTTGATCACATTAACCTGATAACACATTAGCACAGCCAATGGAAAGAAGGGCTGCACATTAACTGCATATTAACATATTATATGTAAAACCTTAAAATAATGCCTAATTTCATTTTTCATGAGTAGAACCATTCCAGCTGCCCCGTGATTTAACTGGCTCTCCACTTTGAGCGCACACTTTAAGAAGTTCAGTTTAGGATGAGGTTTGTTTTTTTGCACGTATTTTTTTCTAACAACACTGGTTTATCGATGCTGCAGGAAGAACACCTTTCCTAAATATTACAATTACATTCTAAAGTATAATTTCTCTCAACTAAGACTGCAGCTGAGGTCTCTCACGATCTTGGCTGTAAAACAGCTTCCAAGAGAACTGTTGGGTTATCAAAGAGCAGCAGCTGCCAGCTCAGTAAATTATTTTATCAGTCACGGTGAGCTGCAGGCACAGAAAGCACCTTTAGCAACATCCAGCTGCCTGCTCCATAAGCGACACTCATGTGAAGCACTGAGTGAACAAAGTTGGAAGCTGCAGTTTTACAGCAACAGTTCTCTATGGGCTACAGCTGGAAGCAGGCCAAATGCAAAGACAACAGAAGGGAGTGGGGAGTTGCTAAGGAAATGATACCAGCTCACCACAGAAACCACACTGGAATCCTAAATGCAAATACTCATTTCCCATGGGTGTCATATCTGTAGAAGAAACTGACTAGACACCACTGACAGACCTGGAAACTTCTCCACATCTGTGAAACTGAGATCCTTGATGTCTCAGCAGAAGAGACCTACAGATCTATTATCCGCAAGGGATACCTGAAGTCAGCCTCAACTGGGAGAGTTTTTTTTTTATTAAAATGTCAAAATAGCAGAAAAGATGAAAGATTCTATACAGTGATGTCCAAAATCAGCCTGGGCATCAGTTCAGCTGGGCAGCACAGGAGGGATTTTCAGAAGATGTGAGTAAATTAGGCCCCCGAAGTGATGCTCTGCTGCCCTGGTGCTGTCTACCACGTTAATACCTGAGTCTTATTTCAGAAATATATATGAAGCAAGTGTGCTTATTTTAACAACCTAAGTCCATAAAATAATCAGCAGAAGAAACCCTTTCGTGATGTTTTGTAACCACCTATTCTCTTGAGCAAATCATTTGCTTTAGTAACCTCAGGTAAACACACAATGCAATTTCGTATTGAGCAACAGAAAATGGGGCATCCTGGTATTATCTCCAGCATCCAGTACTTCAGAGTCCCCTAATGCTGCATCCATAGCGTGCTGCCACTTAGGACTAAATTATATACAAACATTTACAAAAATTAGGTTTGAAGAGGTTTTCATTGCAAGAAATCCTTTCTAAACTTCAGCGGAGGAAATACATCAGAAGTGTCTCCCTGACCTGCACACAGCTCTGGGCCCAAGGGTCAGCAGTGTGGATCCAGTGCTGTTACAACCATTTCTCACCACAGGGAAACTACTTACATCTAACAACGCCCGTCCTCCAGTGTGAGCAGCAGATAGGAGCCAAACTCACAAAAGAAACCACTGACATTTCAATTAGTTTGTTTTCCTTTGAAAGGAATTTATGAGAAATCTGTCTTACAAGCCCCAGGAGGGAATGCAAATGAATTCTCCTCTGGATACAGGTAAACTGAATAGAGTTTGTAGCTTCAGAACTGTACAGAAGAGATTTGGATGGTCTGAGAGGTCTGGACTTTTTTTTTTTTGGAGGTGAAACCGATCTTCATGTCTATGTATAAAGATTAAAAAATAATCAATGTAATCACATTTTTAAAAGGAAACCAAAAAGATCAATGCGATGTTCTCTCCAGCATGCTTATTAAATAGTGAGACATTTTCTGTAATAAGCAAATATTTGAAGTGTAACTATCTAACAGGAAGGTATTTGTATTCATTTTCCCAGCCACTCAGCTGCACAATGAAGAAGATACATGATGGTAACAGAGGAAATCACCAGGGGAGCTGAGAATAAGATCAGAGGTTAATAAACATTTTCCCTTTGGCTTAAAAATTCTAAAGAATTCTTACTGCTGTTCAGCAAACAGCTTCCCATAGCTGCTTTTCTTGTCCAATGTTTTCAAGAAATATATTTTAGTTTAAATGCATTGTCCTGATAGAGAGGCAAATGGTTCAAACACTGAGCTACCACTGGAAGGGGCACACTGTGAGCATGGGCCCAGCACCTCCTGCACAAGGAGCTCTGAGCAGCTGAAAGGAAGTCCCAGGACAGGAAAATCCCTGGTGGAGTAGATTCATTTCCTATAGAAGCCTTTCAGCCATATTGAGTATATTCTTACATTGAACATTACAAACCACGCTGGATGTAAACAAGTTTAAAAGCGACTGAAATGACTAATGCTCTTCCATGAACAAAGAGAAGCATCATTTGCCACAAGGGGTGCTTGTAGGGAAAAGCACTGCTAATCATCCTTAATAAGAGCCAATTTAATGGTGAGCACCGTGTGAGTTTGTATAGAAATCAATTGTCCTTCCCTCAGCCAACACAAAGTCAATGAAAACGGGGGAAAAAAGAAAAAAAGAGTGTATAGTTGGGCAACTGGGAACTCCCTGGAAAGCAATATGGCTGGTTTTCAGGGTCCCCAGAGTAACCAGTTTGGATGACAGAATTAAATCAAAATGAAGTTAATCATATTTATTTCTAGCTCTGGCATAGGTTTTTGTTTAACTCTTAGCTACACCATGTAAGCTACTCCATTAAGGACATATCTTCTTACACTGTAATTAAGTTGGAAGCTCCATTGGGAATGCCTTTAAACGCTCTCCTGCAACAAGAGTTATGAATGCTAAGTTACAAGCATAACAGGGGCTTATGGCAGATTTATGCCATTAAATAACTGAAAACTAGGAGTGATCTATTCTATAGATACAGGCAAACTGCCATGGAAGTACCTAGGAGTTGTTGTACATGCCCCAAACAGATGTGCCTGGCTCCCATCATTTTTACTGAAAGCTTCAGGGGTGCTTAAGCTATCAAAACCACCCACAAAAAAAAAAAATCACCAATTTGCATGGTGTTCAAATACAAAATAGCATTACCTGATTCTTTGTGATCAATTCCCATGCTGTTCCACCTTCGTGTGATATCAATGTATAAGATATCTACAGAAGCCATTGAAAAATTGCTGTTACTGAGCTTGCAGTTTCTGTTAAAAATGAACAACAAAAAAGCAAAACATCTGATTACTTCCAAACTTCCAAGCCATAAAAACCCATGCAAGAGCAACACAGAGGACAATGGGGAAAGTTCTCCCTGTATCCTAAGCACACTCACAGATTTATTTTATGTGCTACTGAACACTGCATGGAAAACAGCAGCATCTCTGGATGGATCTCAGGCATTTGGTGATAAGCAAACGTGGGAGATCTGACACTTGTGTGGTCTGAGCCCACAGGACAGTGTTGATCAGTAGATGAGAATGAGCCATCTGCCCTGCATGGCAGAGCCTGGCAGCATGGCTGGAACTTGTGCATGTGCCAAAGCATCGGCCAAAAGCTCCAGCCAGGAAAAAAAATCTGTGACCATTGCTTATTTTTCTAAGTTGTTTTTTCGAATGAAGAAATTATTGAAGGGGAACAAAAATTTGGGCAGGCAGTCTTTGAAACCACCTGCCCACACACATCTGCAGGCCAATCACAGCTGTATACCGTTTCACTCTTGAAAAAATGAGAGGGAATATTTCACACAATCTGAAAAGAGCAGCGAAGACAGCATTTCGGGAAAAAGGCCCTGCAGTTGGTGTGGATCATCTGGTGAAAAGTGAAGAGAACGTTTGCCAACGTTAAAAAGTTTATTTAACGTGCGTGAGGAAACTGCCAAGCTGATTTCATTGAGATATGACCATTTATTTTAGTATTATTAAAAGAAAATGTTGGCGTTTATACTGTGTTCGTCTGACAAGTGCCAAATTAAGGCTTGACTAAACAACAGAGAATACAGAACTAGAAAACATCCTGCACTGATCTGTAGATAGAGCAGATGCCTTCAGTATTTATATATCTGTTATTTGTATAAATCAAATTGTTTATATTCATTCCTGACTGCTAAATGCATCTGCATCGAAACAGAATTTGTATTTTAGGAATACATCTGCAGCTGCTGCTGATTTCTTTTGTCATTCTCAATGAAAGACAGAAAATGAGATATTTGTACCATGACTCCAACAGATACATCCATAAAAAATAGAATGAAAAAATCCCACAAAAATAAAGCATGTGAAAAAAAAAAATAAAAAAAATTGAGTTCCTTGCCACTGTAAGTTGCAATTTCATGATGTAAATCCTTAGTGTGCAGTGCATCAGTAACTGGCATTTGAAATCCTTTGCTTTGGCCTGGGGCCAACGGCAATGCCCACAGCCAGCAATCAGATCTCGAGTGACCCAATTTCATTTGTCATGTTCTTAGTGAATCTCAGGAATACAGCTGTGAGAATGTGACACGTTGACTAGGACTGCAAGTAGTATCTCCCATAGTATCAGTGACCTGCTGTAGGATAAAGACCCACACTTCTATGAGACGTGGTTTCTCAGGTCAGGCATCTTTGGATATTTCTTTTTTTAAACATGCAGTGGTTCAATGAACTTCAGGGGAAAAGTTCCTTCAGAAGGCACCACTGAACCTACCAGCTCAAAGCCTGCCACGCTAGGGCCTGCTCTTATCCAACAGGAGCTCAGTGACAGCAGCGCTGCCCAGCAGGACCTTGAGTCTCCAGCTGTTCTATTTCACCTCATGCCATTCCTAAATAAAGCACGTTACTAACCTTATAAATGTCCGGAAACCTGTTGGCCCCAGTTTTGTTGTCCCTTTGACGCCAAGGAATCGGATGAACAACGCAGCCACCCTGTCCACAAGTCGCAGGTAATCAAACTGCTTGGCATACTTTGGAAACACTTGCTTGAGACAAAGGGAGGGCAGGCCAGCCTCTGGGTTTTTGCTGGTCTCGTATTCTGGTCCACCTGCTGGTCCTGCATCCAGTAGATCCTCTCTTGTTTCTGACACATGCTCTGAAGTCCGACATCTGCAGCATGCAAAATAATCATAGCCTACATTAACCTTCTCCATGCACGATTCAACATGTTCTTTCTGCATTTTTTTTTTAGTTACAAAACATTGCTTTATGAGATTTTTCACAACAATTTATAATCTTACATAAATACTGAAGTTCTCTAAAGCAGAAATCATGCTATAAAGAGTATCTAAAATAATGAACAGAATATTCAACCTTTCAGAAGGTAACAGACTAATGTTCCCTTCTGTCTATGTCCCACATAGACAAGAAACCACCAGAAATACCAGTGTGCAGATACAGTCAGCAAGTTCAGATTAAAAATTGAATTCCATGAAATTTCACGGAACATTTCATAGGAAATGCTTAGAGATTGTTATAATCTAGTGCTATTTAAACTTATTTTCCAGTAACAATTAGAAGCTTCTACATTTCCTGATAAGTGAGGAACAAAAAGCACATTCAGATACATCTGCAAAGAAATCCTAACAGCGCATCCAGAAGCGATACGGCCCACATCGACGCACACTGGCACTTCTCAGAAGAGGACGGCTGGGCAATCCCATTATTTTTTCTTCAAATCCTTTGTGCATACTGTCAAAATACATTATTTCATCTTCACTGTTGTTGCCAAATCCCCTAAATAAAGCTGATGGAGATAACGACGCTCTGCAATTAACGTTACGTGTTGATTCAGGATGCTGTGTTGTTACATTTCCTCTGCTTCTGACACACCCGGATAAAATTAAAGATTGCTCCTGCTGTACGTCCCCCAAATCGGACAGCTGGTGGTAATTACTTGGCACCCACTCAGCACACACACATCTTCATTTTCTTCCCCGTCGCTTTTCTAAGCACTTATCATCAGGAATAAGTACAATTCACACTGGGCACTAAAAAACTACATTGATCTTTTGTGTTCCTGAACAGAGTTGGTGTCCTTCACAAAGCTCTTTTGGAGCAGAGAGTTACAAACAACATAGTTATTACCCAACCACAACACTGTACAAATTATCGAGCCAAAGCTATAGTAAAGCTGTAATTTCCACTTTGATACTTGGAGGCAAACTTCCTCAGCTCACTTACACCCATCCCTGGGTCAGGACACAAATCCACTGACACACCGCATCTTCTTCCACTCCAGAATACTGAAAGTAAAGACCACTTACAGGAACAACTAATTAGTATCTGCAAAAAAATGTTTGAATTCAATTGTGAGATGTAATTTCTAAAAGCCACTTTTGGAGTCTAGTTTTGGACCCTCTTATAATCCAGGCTTTGAACTTATGCATTCCCACTATAGATGAGTGCAGCTCACCAACGTCCGACCCCAGGTGTGCTCAGCACAGCACCAGCACAGGAACCTCTCACTGCATTCACCACTGAGTACCTGTAATTGTGACCATTTTTTGGCAAAGCAAGAAATTCTGAGTCTTTGAAAAATAAGCAGTTTAGGTAAGGTCGATGGTTCTTCAGTAATGCTGCTCTGCTGCAAATAGCAGCAAATGGCACAGTAGAAAGATAATGTTACATTGATATTTGCTTAACTGAGGACAAAAATTACACATTCTTGGTTTCCTTCCTTCTCATGTGTGCCACTGAGTTTCACTGCCACTGAATTTCACTGCCACTGAGTGCCTTCTAGAGGCCAAGAGAGCGACCGTGTGTTCAGCCAAAAGAACAAGTGTGCTGCCACTGTTTTTAATCCTAGGTCTGCTGATGAATTTTAATTCACATCTTCAGCCAGTTGAACCAGGCCATGAGCACATGGGAAACCGCGTACTCAATAAGAGAGAAGGTTATGTCTGTAACATAACTCTCATTTAATTAAGCCTCTGTGGAATTGTAGTCATGCGCTGCTGTTCAGAGAAATCCTGAAAGCTTCCTAATTGTAAATTCAGGAGTATTTTGGATTGTACATTATTCATTAACCGGTGATTTCAGTTAAAAATGTAAAACTTTCCTTTAAAAGATACTGGCAAAGCAGATGAGATTTTATTTTTCCTTTTAAATAGAAAATACCGAAGGACGGCATCATGGTTCTTCCCATCCCTTGGCAGAGGCTGCAGGGGCTCCAGCAGCACAGCTCCAGCTCAGGCCTCACCTGCACGTCTGGAATTCCTTGGCATGCACCTCAGTTTGGGCCCTCAAATAAGTCACTGAAACTTCTGACTGGGAGGTCGAAGATGCACCTGAAAATTCATTGGCAGAGCATGATTCAGGGCTGATTTCAGTTGACATTCTGGCACGAAATAAGCTACAACAGTGAACAGCTATAAGTGAGGTCAGCCTCAGATTCCTGCTGCAATGACAGTTAGTCCCTGTAGCCCCTGACGAAATACAGTGGTTTAGAAGATTTTTCCAGCCCTCTGCTTTTCCATCCCACCTCCAAAAGAGTTCAGCAGTAATAAATGAAGGTAACCAACACTCCAGACACGTTGCTCCTGGGAAATGAGAAGCCTCACAGAAAATCCACCCGCTTTCCAAAACACTGTTTGTGGAATTCATCTCCCTCACATTCCCACAGCAGCTCTGGAGACAGACACAGCTCACTGTATACAAGAGGCGGGATGGGACACCTGTGTAAGATTTTAAAATGCATCGTCTCCACCAAATCACAAATGTTAACTTAGCAGCTTATTATGATCTAGGGAAACATTCTGTTCGAGCACAGAGGTGGAACAACAGCTTTCGGCTGGGGAATTTAAACTGGCAGTGTTCTCTTCTGCCCTGCGTTGACAGAAAGCATCCTATATGCACACGATCCCTGGACACTTAGGGTAGAGAAAAGCACATGTGGAAACAGAATTGGACTCCATGCTCATGTAACGAGTTTCTAAGCCAATACCAAAGGGCTTTTTCAGCATCAGAAGATCTCTGCAATCTACTACTGGCTTTCACAAGTATGTTGGGTTTTATTCCTCTGTTACAACAGAGGGGTCAATCAAATCATATTCCTGTGTGGATAACCCACGTTTCTTATCTCGTGTTTCTTCTCTCCCACTTCTGTCCCTGCCACAAGCACGGGGCAAACATCCCATTCGATATCTGATCCAAGTATTCACACTCCTCTACAAGTGATCGAAGCTCCTCAACACGATATGAGTATGATGAACATCAAACCCAGCCACAGCAATCCACTGAATTTGGAGGAAAAGCTTTGAACCCAAAGGGGTGGCAGGAAAGCGGACAAGGAGCAGCGTGGAGAGGCTATTTCAGTGCTGTAAAGCATGGGGTCACTTTTCAGGAGTGCTTTCAATAAAACTGAGACCTTCAGAATCATGCCTGCATCAGATCCTGTCCCTGTCAATGACACTGAATTGACACACAGACTTTCCTGCCCACACTCACCGTAACTGCAGGCATTTGCACAGCCCACATCCAGAGTGCAGTCCTCCACTGCTTCCACACACAGCACTCCAATAAAAGTTTATTTTCTGCATGTCAAGTCAACATAACTGTATGCACCCCGTCTCTGTGCAGTCTCAACTAATTAAGCAAAACTGCCAAGCTAGATATATTATAGCCAGACTCAGTATCTACAAAAACAGAATTTTACTGTAATCTGCACATTTTTGCAAGGAAACAGTGCACAATTTTTTTTTTCCTTAGTGATAATTTACACTTGCTTGCAATGCACACTACATTTTCTTCTGTATCTCAGCTGCCATCTGCACACCTTAGGGTCAAACTGGATGACATAAGAGCCCAAGGGTCAGCCAGTCAAAGATAGGCATAAGCACTGTCAGAACAGCTCCAAAGAGCAAAAATACAGTTCAAAGTACTACAGCAGCAAATATTTAACAGGGGTTTTCAAGTCCATTCCTATCATCAATTCATCAGTCAAATGGAAAACGTAGAATTACTCTTTCTATAACATTCATAGAACTTAACGTCACTACAAAACCTGCACATCAAATTTACCACCCAGCTCTTTCTTACTCCAGAACACCATTTCCAAGTGGCATCTCACACTGCCTCATTCAGGACTCCATCTGGAGCCCCTGCACAGCACAGAGGTTCACATGCTTTGCCTGTTCCTCTGAAAACCCTGCACAATGCCTGTGCACAAGTGCTGCAGTGGAGCTGCGGGGAAGGGATCAGAAACTCCAAAATTCAGAACAAATCTCTAGAAAGAGAAACCTGCAGAGACTTTCTCTATTGGCTCCTTCCTCCTGGGCTCTCCAGCAGGCAAGGGGAGGAGAAGAAAGCTGAGACCTGCAATTTAAAGCTGCTCCTCGAAATTAATTGTTCTGACTGACACAGCTGAGTCAGGCTGAATGAACGAAAGGTCAAATATAAGGTAATGCTTCTGGTGCCACACGGAATAATAGCAAGGCTTCATTTCCATACTCACGTCTGACCTCAATACATTAATTTCTCTAATTCCGCAGCTCACAACAGATCTTTCTTTAGAAAATATTAACTGCATCTTTAAAAAAAGAACTGCAATTTTAAGAATGCTTATGGAAACAACATTCAAGACTACTTATCTTTTATGCATGAGCACTAACTTATTAATGTTTTCTCCATCTATGTCATATCCCTTTCATTTTGACTGGCCTTAATCTTTATGCAAATACAAGTTGCTAAGGGACAAACAAATTTGCAACCACTAATTAAAGGCTGCAGCATTCACAACATTTTGTATGCTTGCACAGAAAATTTGGCCGTCCAGTTCAGAACAAAATCGGGCAAGAATTGGAACAGCAGAGTTCTAAGAATGCTTGTTGATATATTTAACATTTATTGCACTGTTACAAGTGAAAACTATGCAACTTTTTTTTAATCAACTGACTACCACTTCCCTAATAGAGGAAAATACTGTGTTCTGGATTCTGAAGCCATAAGTAATTCCCTCTGCTGAGCCTCTACTCTCAAAGCAAGGACTCCATTAGCAAAGTTACAAGCTCAGAAGATTTTGCATGACAAATCTGCCTATCCACCCACTTACCACCACTGTATACAGATCTCCCCTAAGAAACTGATTCATGTCACTGGAGGCTACAGGT